TTTCATCATATTTAGATTATTCAGTGACTAACAAAAGTTTCTCTGTACTTTATTTCTTCATAGAGAAGTCTACAACCTTGAAACTTTTCAAATAGTTAGTATATACATAAATTAAATTATGTATTTATTTTGAAGGTTTTTTAATTATTAGAAAAAATTAGATGAGAGCTAAAGTTGAAATATTTTTTATTTAAAAAAGTAAAAAAATTTATTGAATTTTAAAAAAAATTAATAAAAGCTTAAAACTTTTTAAACTCTTTTTTAACAAATGTTTCCAACTTCAAAAAGTTCTAACAGACTAGAAATCTTCTAACATCTTTCTTATTTCCAAAAAATCTAATTGGAATTTTGCCCTTAATCAAGTTTGACCAATTTCTATTATTGAGCTCTTCAAAAAAACTTTTATAAAAATTTTTACAAAACAACTTAATTAAATTATTACTAATAATAATCTCTTATCAAATCTAAATTTTGCTGCTACCAAAATTCATCAATATACATTTCGATACAAATTCTTTATAACACCATTGAGCACTACAAATTATATAACAAAGAAGCCTAGATTCTTTTTCAAGATATGTCTAAGGCTTTTGACAAAATTAACCTATTGTGTCTTCAAGATATTTATAAAAGAATTAGTATTCCTATATCAAGTATCAATCTAATTACAAACCTGTACTCCTCACAATAAGTTAGGAATATTACTGCCTATAGACTTACACATTTTATAAAAATCCAATCTGAAATAGAACAAAGAGAAACCTACTCTCCACTCTTATGAAAAATTTATTATAACCCTATTCTCTCCTTTATCCATCAAAATACCAATATCAATTCTTCAAAATCGCTTCACAAACCTCTTTTGACATTATTACTAACACTACTACTATAAGTATTTCTATTCCACCACTAGCTTTTATAGATAATACAACATAGCTCTACAAAAGTTCTACTGTTATACAAAATATTTTAAATGATATATCTCAACTTTACAAACTTAATAACATAGATATCAATTCCTCCAAATCTGATCTACTTTATATTTACCTAAAACACTCTAATATCTTAACAACAACTCTCATTTTCAATAATCAAATAATATCTCCAAGAAAACCTAATGACATTATAAGATATTTAGGCATATATCTAGATAGCAATGACTCTATCAAACCATCTTGAAACATAATCCTTAACACAAAATTAAAAACTTTATTTGCCTAATTAGATACAAAAAACTTACACTCTCACAAATCTCCTCACTTTTTAATTTAATTCTTTAGCTATCTATTAAATACCTCTTACAAGCAACTATCATACACAAAACTTTCAAACTAAACTATCTTATCTTTTTACTTTTTAAACCAAAAAGATGCTATCTCTTGCTAAAAACACTAACAATATTGTACTTACAAATCTCATCACTTTTAACTTACCAAGTCTCAATAATCAAATTCAGAAGGCTAGTGCTTCTAACATTAAGCATATTTTCAATTTAAGTCAAATTCTTAAAAATATTAGTCTTGTTTGAATTAAATCTAGTTAACAAAAGTTTGGTCTTTCAAGCTTTCTTCAGATCTACTTACTTTTTATAAATATAAAGTAACAAACTTCACACTCATCTTTCAACTCTCACAATTAGCTATAAACAATATTATACTTTCTAATCTCCTTCTTAATAACAATTACCCTGACTTTCTTTTTAATGCTCATTTAATATATAATATTCTCCTATCAAACACACATATATCTACAATAAATAGCCTAAGAAACAACTGTTTACTCTTTCTTGAACAAATTACTACTGCAAATAACAAATATCTTCTATCATAGAATAATATTTACTTATATATATATAAACCTATTAAAGGCTGCCAACCTTTATAGTTTGCTAATATCTACTAGTTATTATAAAACAATATAATCTCAAACACATGGCTTTACTTTACTTTACTCTCAACTAATTCTTTTATCAATACGATCTACCTTATCTCCCCATCTTTCTTTTCTAATTCTTTTTTTTAAAATCAAATACACTATTTTTCAATATATCAGCAGATCAGCATAATTAGATCTTAAATTCAAGTTATTAAATTTATTATATTTGTATAATGTTGACTGTCAAATGACTTCAAACTGTTCTTATCATCATAATAAACATCATCAAAACTAATCTCTTATCAATACAAAGAAGTGTAAATATACTGACAACTCTGTAAGTTATATGCTTTTTTATTAAAAAAAATAAATTATTGTTATATATGATACATGCAAACACAAATAGAAATTCAAAGTTCACCAACTGTTTATTGTCAACTGTGTTCGAATAAAACCTTTAAAAATATTAATGGATTATTTTTACACCAACACAAAATTCATAAAAATAATCAATTTTTTAATATTAGTTTCTTATGTATATATTGCACTCTATACCTAGAAAAAAGTTATAAGAATCAGTATAGACTAAATTAATATGAAGCTATAATACATTCTAATTACAATATTCCTCAGACTAATATAACACTACAATCTTCTGAAGCAATTTCTGAATTTAAAAAAACTTTAGTTTTTTTAATTCAAAACAAATTAAAAAATGGGTATCAATTACAAAGATGATATATAGTAAATGTTTCATGTTTGGAATGTTTATTTGTAAGTATCTTTTAAGAAAATATCAAAAGATGCTCACCAAATCATGGATGATATTATTGTGTATTTGCAGGAGAAGAAGCATATAATAGATTAAACAATATATTGGAAAATTCAAAGTGGAGTGTTCGTGAATATAAAAATCAGCAACAAACTTGGATAATTTTAGTATCTCAAGACTTAAATCAGTTATATAATTCTTTTATACAACTAAAGATAGAAATTTATTAGAAATATAGGCAAATAAAAGATAAAACAAATCATATTTCAGAAGCAGGATATATGTCTTTAAGCTTTGTAATTGATTAAATGTATTTTTAGAATATTGCAATTAAATCTAATACAGTCGATACTGTCTAAATGCATACGGTCGAAAAAGACAAAAAAAATCAATTTTATGCATTTATACAGTATTAACCAATCAGATATCAGAAAATTAACTGTCTAAATGCATATTACTATTAAATTTTTTTAAAAAATTATGCATTTAGACAGTATACAGTATGCATTTAGACAGTATCGACTATAATATTTATTCGTGATTTGTAATTTTAATTGTTCTATCTTTTTTAAAAAAAGTAGGAATATTGTGTATATAAAAAAAAGTAATCTATTTTCAAATTCTATTATTTCTATAAGTGCTAACTTTCATATTTCACCAATTTCACCATTCTTTAATGTTTTTTTAAAAAAATGCGAAACATGATAATGATTCTTTTTTTCTACTGCTGAGCAGAAAAATGCTTGCAAACAAAAGACCTTATATATAGTAAGAAATTCTGGAATATAGAACACCAAGATATGTATATAGAGTATTATATCATTAGACCTATATAAACCTTTAACAAATATTGTAGAAGAATTTGAATTTTCTAAAGAATGTATTAAAAATAAGTTATGTCTTTTTTTTAAATTCAAGGCTAAACACTTGAAACTGATGAATATCTTGGTATAATTTATAAAATCTATTCTATAATTGATGTATTTATAGGGCACGATTAAGATTTTTAAATAAAATATTTAAGTTAAAGTTCTTTAATACTTTAAGTTTATCTTCACCATTTAATGAATTAGATTTTTATGTTTTACTTTCTGGATCCTTACACCAATGAAAATTAATTTGAATATGTTTCATTTTTTGGCTAATTTTTAACCAAACATTTATATTTAATTTGATTTGTATTTTAGCTATTAGAGTTGCTATAAATGATCAATAATTCGTAATATAATATATGAAGCTCATCAACAATTCAATTCGTTAGTGGTATTATATAAAATAATGGTGAATGTTTATGTCTAGATATAGTTAAGGGTAGGGTGTTCATAGATCATTTTTCATATGATTTACATGATATATTAAAATTTTATATAGATAACAAAAATTTGCCACTGATAAAACTTTTTAGAATCGTGACTAATCTTTACCAAATTTTTTCAGTATATAATTTAGAGTTTCTAATTTATAACAGTAAAATTATAAACACTGTATCTTTTAATAAAAATCTACTTCGTATATTAATAAAAATACTTAGATGGCCTCAAATTTACTTAAGTTGTACAAAAATTACTAATTCTAATTGGTCAAATTTGATGTTTTTATAATTCTGATTGGTCAATCACATGATTTCATATAAATATTACATGATTAATATTAAAAATGATCTACAGATACCACTCTTAAATAATTATTATAAATGTTATTGATATTTTTTGAAATATTTAATTATATGTCTAATCTCTATTTTGTTTTTTGTGAATATTACACCAGACAAAAATAATCAGAATTTGCAGCTTTATGTCTTATACAGAGTGCTATAAACTTCCAGTCAACAGAAAAGTATAATTAAATTTGCCATCTTTGACCTTGTTTATCTCAATAGTCATTTACAATTTCATTTAAGTCTTTTATTAATGAAGCCAAAGCTATTTTTAAATTATTATATGTTTCAATACCAGAATAAAGTATAAGAGTATAGTTATGATCCAGATGATATATATTTATATAATCATTTAATAGTACAAAGGTAACCATAACATGTTTAACTTTATAACCTATATTTTTTCTATTTCCAGAAATTCAGATATACAGTACAGGATCATCATTATTAATAATGCCTTTTTCTAATAGAAATAGTATAATATAATTAAGAATATCTTTAATAGAATAATAAACACCCTTCCTAATTGATTTATTTATTTTATGAATAATTTCAAGATCATTAATTATATTTGTATTTGCTTTATTATCATCTTCATTACAAATCTCCTGTGGCAAATAAATCAATTAAATAGATTGGAATTAATTCTTTCATTTGTTGATTAATTTGTTGCTACATATTAAAAACAGCCCATTCTCATGATAAGTCATATCTAATTGCTAATATTAATCTATATGCTTGTCTTGAAATTTTTTCACTATTCATTAATCTAATTATTGCTTGTATTTGTAAATTAATATTTTCAGCATTAATTTCTTTATAGGTAATATGAAACTTTTGTGAATTTGTTATAAAAGTTAATTCTTCAAAGTCACACTATCTTGGTTATGAAAAATTTGTATTACTTTTTGTTCAAATAAACCTAACAATTCTTCTCCAAATTTTGTATTATGTTTTAGTTGCATTGAATTGCTAAGATCTGAAAATGGTTTATAACAACCTCTTGTTTGACATTTATCCTGAATTTCACTAATCTGTTTTAGCTATAATCTGAAATAATATACTCTATTTAATTTAGTTTTCTTTGGATTTAGTTTTTGTCCAGTTATTATTTCTTCTTCAGTAACTAATTTATTATATTGTCATATATAGTTTGTAGCAGCATCAGATATATTAGATCTTGAAATAATAATATTATTATTATTATAAGTAAATTCAATTTTAAATTCAGGTATATTATTTTGGTAATTAATTGAACATAGTATAGTTTTTTGTGATTTGCCTCTACCATATGTGGTCTCAACTATATAGTTATAGAAATTTTATATTGATTCGATTTGAATATATAGGCGAGAATATTTTTGCTAGAATAAATTCCCTCCTGAATAATATAATATAAAAATTTGTTGCATGATGTTTTGGCCTTAATTATAAAACTTTTTAGATAATTTTTTGTTTCAAACATTTTGTTTATCGAAAGCAAATATGAAAAATGTGAATTTATATTAATTAATATATTTATCATTTTAACTATCATAATATTATTTATATTATATCATTAAAAGTATATATCGATATCATTATTTTTTGAAATATTAAACTTATAGTATATTTTAGACTAATAATTATCATTATACATTTTGATCAAATAATTGTTAACTAAGTGATTCACTTCAATGGTAGCTCAGCATTTAGAAATCTGCTATATAATCAACTGACTAACTTATTTCAAGGGTAGCTTAGCATTTAGGATTAATTACGCAAATCTGCTAATATGAATAATCTCTTTTTATCTCATCAAGTATCTTTATCTGCAAACTCAGTATTTAAAATTAACTCTAACAATGCAGGAATTTCACATCTTATACCTACTACCTCTTTACCTAATAATATTATATCCTTCAATCTTTTCTATAATTATATTAACAAACTTAACAATCTACTACATATTCAAATTAATTATAATGAAATCCTTGTATTAACATATCTATATAACT